GTAATCAAACAGATGATGAACACTATTAACAGCAATTATTATATGATGCAATCAAACTTATAGCAAAATTTGGTAGTTCTGTATGTTGTTTCAGGGTTGGCATCATCTGAGGTCCTCTGAGGGGTTGGCATCATCTCTTCTCAGGTGTTCTGAATCCAGACTGAAGCTTGTGTAAATCCTAGTTACGGCAAAAAATAGAGACATAATTAGCGTAGCTGCTGTTCCAAGCAGTGCCCAGTGTGAAAGCCCCCTCAGACTAGTAACACCTGAGTTCATTAATTTTTTTTTTATGATTCATTAAAAGAACTGGTTCATAAATGTCATTTGCTCATGAATTGGACTATATTGATCACGCTATTTGTACATTTTTGAGGACAACTCAAATATTAAACTTTTCTACTTTGATGAATTTTCAGCTACTAGTATTTCAGTCTTCAGTGTCACGTGATCCTTTTAGAAGTCATTCTAATATGAGAAACTCAAGAAACATTTCCTTATCAATGTTAAAAACAGATTTTGCTCAGTATTTTTATGGAAACAGTTTTACCTTCAGCAAGGACTCATTGCATTGGTCAAAAATGACAGCAAAGAAATTTTTAATGTTACAAAAGTTTTGTATTTTAAATAAATGCTATTTTACTTGAATGTTATATTAATCAAAGAATGCCAGCATCCTAATTCCAGCATCTTTCCAGCATTGATGATAAGAACCATTATTAACAATTGTGCGCCAAAAAGAACTGGTAATAAATGAGCACCAAATCAGCATAATAGAATGATTATTTGTAGTGTATGTTTTCACACACAATTCACAGAATACATTATAGAAACAAATGCTCACATAACTTTTATTTAAATAAATTCAGGGCTCCAGACTGCGATTAAAACGGTCGCATTTGCGACTAAAAATATTAATTTGTGAGTGAAGTTTTTGCTGAGGTCGCCACTGGCAACTATTGAAATTTACATGTTATGATTTAAAAATTAGCATGTAATGATTTTTTTTTCTGATTGTTTTGCGATCACATCTTTTGTTATGTTGACATAATAAACTGAGACGATGCACATCAAAGTTTTAGTGGAAAAAAGACTTTCAATCAGTCCTCATCTCTGCCGAACAGCAGCGTTGATGGCTCATCTGCTGAAAGCAGCTCCAGTTGTGCAGCATGAGAGCGGAGATGCGTGATGTGCGTGCAGAAAAGCAGTGACTATTTCGTGCATAACTTGAACAAATCTTTAGTCTATATGCTGTGGTCTGTTAATGCGTGAGCTTCATTATATTTGTAGCGCACTTGCCGTCCAATAATCGCAATAAGCTTTGTGCTTTGTTACATTTTAATAAACATAATAAATAAAATTCTGCCAAATTCATACCGTTTTGGCACTCACTATAATCGTGATATGAAATTTTCATACCGTTACATCCCTAGCATCATATGACCCCTTTAATATTGATTTTCTACTGTGAATTGCACATTCACCCCTTTATTTATTAATTGATGAGAACATCAACTTAACTTTAATGCAGCATGAGCGATCGCTTTAGTGCCTCAATTCAAGTGGCATGTGAACCCATCATATCTTTCTCTTTACTACTATAGTACGAAATAATGTTACATTTTAATAAACATAATAAATAAAATTCTGCCAAATTCATACCGTTTTGGCACTCTTTAATGCAGCATGAGCGATCGCTTTAGTGCCTCAATTCAAGTGGCATGTGAACCCATCATATCTTTCTCTTTACTACTATAGTACGAAATAAACATGAATGGACATCAAAAGGTATATTATAAGACACAGTACATCTTACTGAAATGTCTCATGTAATCACTATTTCAGTGTTTCAAACTGTGGAAAACGTAGAAAACGTGTAGCCTAAACAATGCCACGTAACAATACATTTACCTCAGAATAACCATTCAGTGTCCATAAGCTCATCAGTCAGCCAGAAAAAAAATAACGATAAGTAGGAGCATTTTGCTAAATTTATGCGCTATATTGCATATTCAGATTTTTACTTAACCTGTTGACATAAGAAAGAATGCAAGGAGCTAAAGGTAAAACTACACTCAATGGCCAAGTGATGCTGACATAATTATGGTCCGTGATATTGGCACAGATTCTGTGTAATAAAGAATTATTTGTGATTGTATATAGTTCTGAAGTTGGAAAAGACATTTAGTTCCCAATTTAAGTGACCCTTAGTTCCCAGGACATCTACAAGATGGATTAAAATGCTGATAAAGACAAGAAAAGAGACATAAACACATGACAGTATGTGTTAAAAAAAAATAGAACAGATTTATTCTGTGGCACCTAAAAAAATAATTTGTCGCCTAATTTGTTTCTTATAGGAGCCAATGACTCCTTAATTGATTTTTTTTTTTTTGTCTGGAGCCCTGTAATAGATTATTTATTTACCAAATTTGTTGTTTTGTGTCAGCCCTACCTTTTAAAAATTGCTGCTCAAGCCTTTTTTGGCTCAGAATTCAATTTTTTTTTTTTCTCTTTTCTTTTCAGGTGGAGTTTATTTCCATTCTTTCCGGCACACTCACTCGAAGACCCCATCATTGGATGAGTGCATGCTTACTCTGTGTGTGAGTGTGCATATGGTCAGCTGAAAGAGGAGATAACTCCACGGAGTCGGAGAAGAAAGCGTAGGCATGGCTCAAGGCACTCCCTTGAGGCCGCGTCCCCCTGAGGTCCTTATGTAATGCTGCCTCATCTGCTAATAGACGGCAGCTGGGCCTGATACACCCACACGTACACATTTAAGGAAGTCTCTGAAGTGTCCCAAGGGAGAAGTTGAACTCTTGTTTATTGTTTTCTCTTTGACTCAATCTTCACATACTCACCTGTGATCCCAGGATTCCTCTGAGCTCCAAAGTCTTCATTTCCGAATCGCTCGACTGACCTAGACCAATTCCCAGTAGCGTTGAGGTGTGTGCTAGCTAAGCGCTGCTCTTTTCACCTGTTTTTTGTCTCTGTGCAAGCTCCATCAAGAGAGGTGTTTTAGCCGGAGTATTCCTCTCATTTCATGCCTCTTGTCTCAAAAAGTGAGAATTTTGATCTAACCATCCATGCATGTGTAAGCCTGTTTACTTATAAAGATACTGGCCTGTCCTTCGAAACTAACCTGTGGATCAGCAATGCTTCGACTCTGGAGAGAGACACTTGAGATTCCATTTCTTAAGGTGCAGTGTAGCGCACTGGTTGGTTGAAATGAAGGAAAGACATTTTTATATTTTCTGATAGTGTGGACGGTGGGGGGAAACTGTTAACGGTTGAGTCCATCTGATTCCTTTGCTGTCATTGCTCCCTTCAAAAGTGAACTACACCAAAACTGAGAAAAATCCTCCTGTCCCTCTTTGTGTCTTTCGCAGTTTAATTTTTTTTTATTTCATTTTTTTAAAAATTATTATTATTATTATTATTTTTTAATCCAAATTCACAGCAGATGAAAACTCCAGGACATTAATTGACTACAGTGCTGCTTATCAAAACATCAAATTCAAATATTTTTTTTTAATTTGTC